CATTGGCGAAAGCAAAGGGTTGAAAACACATGTAGGGTACCCAGCAATACTAAACGGATAGTAGCTTATCCTTTTGAACGAACAACTCACCTCTGGCGGCTCTAAATGAGGACCACATGGACAAACGCCGCGCGGTGAGCCGGTGTTGTTACCCCTCCCTCCCCAGTGCCCCGCACCCCCCACCCCCCTCCCCGCCCCCGCCGATGGCCATACCTGACACTGCTGGTGCAACAGAGGGACGGACTCCATTCACTCCTTGCAGGTGCCAGAATGGCATTGATGCATTACAGGCTACAAAATGTAGATGAAAAATCGGCAGCAGAATTTGTAGGGCATACACTAAAATGACGATTCATTGTTGAATGTCTTGCTGAGTATAGAAGCGGACATTGAACTGGCTTTGCAAACGGAACAGCAGAGTTTCGCTGGCTCACTGGCTGTCACAAGTCCCGTGCGTCGGTATATGGGTCGATCAGCCGAGGCTAACGCCGCTCAGAGATAGTTGTGTACCCATCGGGCGCGACGCATGCCTCACGTTTGCGCGGCTTGTGTCACTGGCAGCGCATGGAGCTTTAACCAAAAGCCTTGCAATCCATACAACGTTACATCAAAGTAACCCGCCTTCCAAAACATTCGACAAGGTTTGGGAGCGGAGCCGACGGCAGGCTTTTGATGATCTCAGCCGGAAAACATGGTACGCCATTCTGCTACTTACTGCTGGTGTTCGACAATCAAAGCGGGTTGTTCAGTCCAACTCCTTATACTAAGTGTCATCGGAAGGCATGATCCGCCCATTCAAACCCGTGCTGAAAATAACGGGCGAGACACACCTGCGTACGCCGAGATGTGATTGCTTCCATGTGAGGGAGACCCCTCTTGCGTGTGTCGTACGTGCGAGGTAAAAACAACGCTGCTGTTGGCACAATATAGATATGATGCCTCAGCATGGACAATGGAGCCGGACGCCTTTGTAAACTCATGTAGAGAGTATTTATTAATGTTTAGGAATATCCATCCTCCGTGAGTTTAGCATGCGGAGGTGTCACGTGTACGCAGGCACATTTACAAATCGCTGCTTTTGTAATATAGATTAATAATATAATATTATTTCTATATCATGTAACTTTGCACGGCTTTCAGCTTGGCATGTAGGCCCGCTTTGGTCGCGCTCAGGAAAGACTGCACACAGACGTTGAAAAGGATGACGGGTGCTGCCATGTCAACGTTGAACGCGTTAACTTTGGTCACGCTTATAAGAAGTTAACACGCACAACGCTCTTTTCATTGAAAGTTAACGGAATACTTATCTGCGTTAAACAGAGGACCATTGCGTCCTGCCTTTGTACCTGGAGCTTGGGCGATGTCGACAACTCCAGATCTGCAGCATCACGTCAGCTGATACGGCGCCCGTCTCGCAGCCGGGAGAGCGCGCAGCCCGCGTGTGCATTGCTTTGGCAACGCTCTCGGGAGTGGGGAGGGGGAGGCTATCCTCAGCACCGCAGGCCCATCATTGGGCGCCGTGCCAGTGTTGGATTTCCCGGCGGTTCGTGGAACTGCCCTGTGAGTGCTGCACATGTAAACGAGTGGCCCCGGCCAGTGGAGTCGCCTCACAAGGTCAAGAGGTCACAGGCTGCCTAAATTGCGTGATATCTGAGGATTTCACTTTGCCGAGTACCCGTCATAGCTTTGGCTGTTCTGTTCATGGTTCATTCTTTGATGTAACATCGTGGCACACTCACAAATAATTGTGGCTTTTAATACGACATCGTTAAGCACATCAAACACCATAGCCAACATAGTCTTCATGGTCTTAGGTAAACACCTTTGTTTGGCGCCGATTGGTGAAAGGCTTATAAACATAGATTATCGTAATGTTTAGCTGAAGACTATCAAGCATCAACTTTTTATGACACTTGGTCTAGGGCGTTGAACTGAACAACCGCTTTGCCTATCGAACCATCAGAACTACATTTTTTACCATTGCTTTCAACATCGGATATGTTCACAAAGATATCAACGAAGCTTTTATTCGCGAAGAAAGATTGCAATGATGAAAAAGAAAGATTAAAAAGGATAAAAAAACAGAATGTCGACATTCGAAACCGCTAAACGATCCTTACTCGAGAAAGACCGACGAGCAAGCGGGCTCTGCTTCCGCAAGGGGGCAGTGCCGTCGGCGCCGACGGCGCTGATACCGACGACCTAACCTTGGCTCGTGTCTCGACAAAATAAAGCAGATCTTAGTTATGGATTACAAGCTTTGTAACGTTCATGGATCATTCAAACACATTGTTCGTGCTAAGCTACGCCACGCACTCTGAATATTTAAAAGGTATGGTATAGTTGTTGTCCCCCGCTTACTTCGCTGCGTAGCGCCCGGCACCGTTGGAGCCGTATGGAGTCGCCTTAGCCCCGTAAACCCGGCTCGCAGCTCACAGTTAATGATGCGCGGCGTGTCTGATAAGTTTCCCTGTGCTTGCATCGGCTGCGTTAATTGGCAATGACCTGTATGTGGGGACGCTAACTGTATTCCTGTTCGAGCTTTGCGATGTGTTTTTGGCGGCTCGGCCCTTGCAAAGCTTGTTTCCCCGACATATACGGCATGCCCCACTGTACCACGCTGTGACCGACACCGCTATCGGACGGACACGAAGTCATGTGAATCGTCATGAAGATTGGGCTTGTATGTGCAAATTTGACTTCAATCTGTGAAGCTGTCTGTGCCGTGCGTCTAGCTAGAGAATTGTGCACACGCAGACCGACAGGTGAACACTTAATTTAACACATTAGGGATATTGCCAGCACATGAAATCAGACTGTTCGCACGTACAAAGCAATTCGTCAGAAACACGACCACTGCCAACTAACGCCAACACAGAACATAACAAGCCCGCTCCCGAAGCAAAAGCTGGCATGGACTGCGCGGAGGATGGGCGACGGGGCGGCCCCGGCGCGTGCTGATGCGCTCCGTGGGCGGTCGTGCGCGGTGTTGCTCAGCGCGGCGGCTGAGTCACCTCTGACGTATATGGCCCGGGGGGCGTGGCACACGGGTCGCTCAGGCGTAACTGGATACTCCTATCCTGCAACATGCATGCATTGTGCAGATCGCATCTCCGAGGCGCTTCCATCGGTGCAGGACGAATGGGAGCCGGCTCTCTTTCCCTCCCTCCCTCGCTCTTGTTTTCTCTTCATGTATATATATATATATATATATATATATATATATATATATATATATATATATATATATATATATATATATATATATATATATGTGTGTGTGTGTGTGTGTGTGTGTGTGTGTGTGTGTGTGTGTGTGTGTGTGTGTGTGTGTGTGTGTGTGTGTGTGTGTGTGTGTGTGTGTGCTTGTGTGTGTATGTGTGTGTGTGTGTGTGTATGTGTTGCACATCCTAAAACGCTCTATACACACCCATAATGTACCAAGCACGGGCATAATTATACAGGATATCACCGCTTGATTGCGTTACACGGGGTGCGTCCGCCTCCCATGACCCGCAGCAGGGGTCCCGTCTCCTCCTCCCAGCCTGCGCGGACCAGCGCCGCCCACTAGCAGCGACCTTGCTACGGCGTGGAGGGGAGAGTGGGGGGGGGGGGAGGTGGCGAACGCTCCTCGTTTCCGCATCTGCTGACCTCGGCGCCCTCCTACCTCACCCGGCACCGTTGACCGCTCGGCCGGCTGCCCCCGATCGGCCAGCTGGTGCCTCTGTGGGGACCGGTTGGGCCGCTCCGCTGACCGCCAGGTCACGATTGGCGCGCCGCCGTGGCGGTCCAGGGCGGCGCGGGCCGGTCTGATGCGAACACGGCCAGGTCAGAGCCGCGCGCAGAGATGGTACCCCACGCCGTCGGAGCGTCGAGGTCGGGGTCACAGAGGAGGCGGCAAACTGCGGGTTAGTTCAGGCGTGTGGGACGCGAGGCGGTCCTTTTCTGCCTGCGTGTTTTAGAGATGAGGCTTAGCTATCTTTTGAATGGTGAGGATAATGGGGAACGACACCACCTGCACTGTGTACCATATCCCGTCAGAAACAATTGCAAAACGCATTTCCAGATACATTTGCAACTTGTATTGCTAGGTCCATTTGCATAAAGCAGATGTATCTTCGGAGTATGGTATTTGAGCATTTGCATGCCTGTATACAGGCACGCAAATACATCTGGCCAGGTACGATGCAGCGATACAGCTGACAAGTCAGACACGGGTGGCTGCAGCATAACGTTGAGAGATGCAGCGATGACTACAAACAGTTAGAATGTAATACGCTAGGTCACTGACGCCGCCGGTCATTGGCAGGAGGCAGCTGTCTGCTGCGATATCTATAGACTTAATAGTGTTACTCTCGGTATAAATCCCGAGTTTAAAATGCCTTTAAGTAAACGTGTACGTGCATTGCTTTCATTTTATATATTGGACGCTCCGGTTTGTATTTGACGGTCGGTTGGCTTATCGAAGCTAGCACTAGCGATCCTGTTTGCGTCAGGGCTACTCTGAGGCGTGCTTTGAACTTGTGCGTCAGCCGATCAATGCTTCACGAAGCCCCATGATGCCATCTCACATCAGTGGCGGCGCTGGGCTGGATGGTGAATGGAATCAGACATCAGGCTGCAATGCCCTCATCAATCCATTCAGTGAACGCAATGCCTTCTCACTCGACTGACGTAGCAGCCCTTCGAGTTGTAATCACTCAGTCACGAACTCGGCGTAACCTGGCGCGATGCTGACGTCCCACCTGAGCCGGTCAGAGGGCGACCTTGGTCAGCGCCTTCTTGTGAGTAGTCTGCGATCTCCAGTGGGCGAGAGGGAGGAGCCACTGGCGGAGATCCGTCCGTTGCGTGTTCCCCGAGCCGGAAGGGGAGGGGAGGGGTGTCCGTCCGGCGGTGCGGCGCCGGCGCCGGCGCGCGTGCCGCTGCAGCCGTCGCCTGCGCCTGCGCCTGCGCCTGGACAGTGTCAGGCGGCGCGCGCCTGCCGCCGCGCCGGCTCGCGTTCGGAGATCAGCCGCGGCGGGGAGCGAGCCGCGCGGAGCCGCAGCTGGTACCGGCGCGTGGGCTAGCCGGGTCAGGTGGGAGGCGATGAGGTCACCGTGTCAGCAGGCGGCCGGCCGCCACTAAAGACCGCCAGCCGGCCGACAGTCGGCGTCCGGTTCAGCCAGCAGCAGCAGCGCGCTCGAGGTGAGCGGGCCACGGACCGACATGTCCGCCCCGAACTGCAGCGGATGGGCCGACATGTCCGCCCCAAACTAGCGGATGGGCCGACGTGTCCGCCCCAAACTGCAGCGGATGTGGTGATGGACGCCGCCCGTGCTCGTCATGATATGTGAACCGCGGTCGTGGTTCAGCATTGTTATTGTGTGGTTCAGGCCTGTTATTGTGGCATTGCCCCTGCTGCGCATAATGTGAATGATGCATATGGTAAGATTGCTGAGGGGTCGACAAAAAATTACGCAATGCATCTTGTGTCATTTTCGCTTCCTCTGGTTACGCGCTGATTACAATGGAGGAGACCAACTCGCATTGCCACCCTGATAAAACCTTTAAAGTCTGGGGTGAGTTGCATCTACGCCTGGCGTAACGTTAGGCTGTTCATACCCTTCCATTTATCACGCTTCGATTGCACTCCATAACAAGCCTGCCCATCCATGCGCAACGTAATCTGTGGACGCCTGCTCACTGCAACGAGGCGCGTGATGCTGTTAAATGCTCGTACTAATGACGCCACCAGCCAAACGTACGTGCAAAGCTTCAATTGTCGCAAGACATCATCACTACCCCAGGCAAACGAGGTGTTGGAGCAAAAAGTTGGAGCAAATAGTATAAAGTATATAGAGTAAAGTATAAAGTATAAAGTATATAAGGGCGCATTTACTCACCTCGTTTACACCTCGTTCGTAGGGGCAAGGGTTCCGGTTCCTTGGCTTTCGCGCACAAATTTCCAAAATGCGCGCTGTAAGCCCGTCTGACTGGGCTTGGCAAGGCTCCAAGCCGTGGTGTAAACCATCTCGCGTAAGGCCTGACAGTTTTGATAAACGAATTTAAGAACTTGGCAATGGTTCACGTTGCGTTGCGTGTGCCCCAGGGGTTGCAAAAAGGCAAATATTCTAAGTGACTACTGATTACGATTAGCTGCCTGTCAAGCTTTCCGGCCCGCAGTTACTATCGCATCGTGATGTACTTCGGGCTGGTTTGAGAAAATATGACATCGACCGCCTCCCGGTCTATTCCCGCCTCACTCATGAGTCAAGTAGTGCTGAGATCGGCCGCGGTTTTGTCGACGGCGCAGTTGCTGGCACCAGGCTATTGTTTTCTTTTCATTTTCATCTACTCGGTTTGCCTATCTGTGGCATCAGTTAGAAAAACGACGTAATACTTCAGATCAATGGCTTGCGCTGAAGAGTACGTGACCGGCGGCACGCATCCATTGTCAATTTCGTTGTCAATTTCATTCCGCACGTTGTAGATTTCATTTCTCCTGAGCTAAAATACGTTAGTCTGGAGCCGCGTCAGAGCTGGAGCATCGACATCCCAGCCTGGTTTGCACCAGCATTCTCTAGCGTGTTAGGCAAAGCCTACGTTTCCGATTAATCAAAAAGGAGAGTTGAAGTTGTCTTGAAGCTGCTATACCACGTAATGGGGAAATCGCTCTGGTGAAACATATTACGAGCGAATTCTGTCAAAATATTACGGCTTAACATTCATGGTTCGTTCTGTTGTTGCTAAAGCTGTGCATGATTCTGAAGTCAGGGGTCGCGGAGATAAAACTCCGTTAAAAGCATGACTGACCGGGGGTCAATTTGACCCCCCCCCCTAAGGTCTCAGGAACAAAGAGAGCTGGAGACACCAATTTTACAGGGCGTGTTGGCCTGTACGTGAATTCATTTAGGACGAAGTTTGAGGCTCCTAGGTCATGATCTTCGGGTCAAATAAGGCCTAACAAGGTAAAACTCTAGGTTGCTCTCCAAAATGTCTGCAGAACATAGATACTTATTCTAAGCAAAAGTCTCATGTTCATTTAAGGTTGGTACCTTGTCTTTGACCTTTTGAAGGTCATGGTGACCAAAATCATACAGCACTGCGTTCAGTTTTGCATTTGAATAAACGATAAAGATTATGCTAGGCAGCATGTTCCCAAAAACAAACGTTGATCTGAGCCATTTTAGGTCAGTGACCCATTCTGATCTTTAAGAAATCCATGTAAGAAGTTAAATGTGGCTAATGTTATCAATAAATTTAAAGTGAGCACCAAAACTACTCCATACACGAAGCACTAGAGTGATAAAACAAGTTGGTTTTGATCTTAGTGTTTATACCTGACCCTAGCTTAATGTGCTTTGGTCATTAACTTGTCATTTTGCCTTAGAAAGGATCTCAGGGATGTATGACATCGTTTAACACTTCGCTGTTGGATCAGGTTGAACGATTCCCTAGAAATTGACTTCGCTGAATCGATGGCCTGATTTTGACCTGCCGTAGGTCAGCGACCTTACAAGGTGCATGTAGATTCTGGATATAAAACAATCCGTTATTTATTTGCCCACAGCTGTACAAAATTTGGCGCGGCTACGCCGCGCCGTTCGGAAACCATTCCGGAAAAAATCTTTGGGGGTCAGTTTGATCGCCACCCGAGCGCGTGTTAAAGTGGCTTGGTTTGGGATTACAGTTGGGTGCTCGCTGCACGGAAAATAGAATAAGAAAAAGCTGTTGGTGGGTTCAGGCCCTTGGCCTCAAGTAATGACAGTTTCAATTGAAAACGCGAGATAACTATATTTTAAGCATTAATTAGTGCTTAACACGCGCCCGGTTGGCCGGCTAGATACCCTTTGCTCGGGTGTGGGGGGTCAATTTGGCCCCCTAAGATCTCAGGAACTGAGAAAGCTAGAGACACCAAATTTACAGGATGTGTTGACCTGTAGGTGACCTTACTTAGGTTAAAGTTTGAGCTTCCTAGTTTATGACCTTAAGTTCAAATTAGGTGAAACAAGTCAAATTCCAGGCTGGTTTCCGAAGTGCCCCCATAAGGCAAGTAAGCAAAAGATCACAATCTCATTTAAGGTCGGTGACCTTAGGTACATCTAACTTATTTTGATCAAACGATCCGTTATTCAGTTTTCTACAGCTATGCACAATTTGGCGCGACTGCGCCACGTCGTTCGGAAACCATTCTGGAAAACTTTGGGGAGGTCAATTTGACCCCCGCACGAGCGCGTGTTAAGGGCCCAAGGATGACTTCGTAGAACTATGAGCTTGTGGTGCTCCGAAGGGTAACGACAAACTTGCAAGGCGATTTCTTCCTGGAGCCGGTAAATCAGTTAGCTTCCCGTGACTTCCATGAAACCAGGCATCTGAATTGAAGAGGTTCAGTCGTCCATGCAAATTTGCCGGTTTGTAGGTGTAGCGTCGGCAGCAGCCATAGTCTGGCACATACCGTGGCATGCAGTCGCTTGCAGCCGCATGTGTTGGATTTGCCCGGTATGCGAGTACCGGTCGACACGTTGGTATGCAGAAATTCGTTGACTGGAGACACAGCCACCTCTGATCTTATGGTCGCTTTTAGGCAATGCGATACAGATTGGCTCACCAGAACTAACGCCCTTTATCCCCGCATGGAGAGAGCCATCCTGCTCTGGGGGCCTGGGTGCATCGGGTGCATCATCAGTCTCACTCGTTGAGCAATCACTGTTTTGACTGTCATCATGCCGGGATGCTGGGAGTGCACGGGTCAACGGCGAATGTGATCCATACGGCCACTACGTCTGGAGACGTCGCATCGTTTTTTGATGGACGGAATGTGAAGCGTGCCGACCAAGCGGGGACGAGCGTCGCGACTTTCTGGCGACATTCTGTTGATCAGCCTCACGTCCCCGCCCAAAGCGCGCCGGTGACATTCACGGTATGCCCATCATTAGCGGCCTGTCACGCTGGCTGCGTCTCAAGTCTGCGACCCGCGTCATACAAACTTACAGCGGCCCCCGTGAGGCCCATATCGTTGCACACACCGCTACACGACGCCAATTCAGGCGCGAGCGATTTCCATGACGAGCCCGGCAGCGTTGCATCACAATCGGCACGTGGCCTGCGGAATGTGGTCAGCGCCTGAGTGCGCTTGGAGCCCTTGTGTGAGCCTCGCCCGGGCCGCCAGCGTCGTCCGTCGCTGTGTGTGGCGCGGGCCGCGGAGTGCAGGCCGTCAGCCCGGTTCCGGGGCGGCGGCGGTCACGGCCGCGGCTCAGGTCGTCCGTACGGTGTCGAGCTGACCCTGGCCCCCGGTCTGCGCAGTCGGCGGCGGCGACGGCGGAGGACCGGCCGGCCAGCGCAGACGCTCGGAGGCCCACCTCGGGTCCGCACGTCAACCGACGCCGACAGAGGTCCGCGACAGCCGTCAGGCTCCGGAGCGGGGCGCATCTCAGCCGGCAGCGTAGCTTCAGCTGAGGCACTAGTCTCCCCGCCAGCGGTGTGGCCTCAACTGAGTGCAAGTGGCCCAGCATGTTGTCGCGGCCTGCCGTGCTGCTGCTGCTGCCGCTGCTGGCGGTCGGCACCGTCTTCTGCGTGCCGGCCGAGCTGCCGGAGCCGGAAGGGTCGGGTGAACATGCTCCTCTGACGGTTGCGGAGCCGGAGCCGGAGCCGGGCCTGCAAACGCTGGAAACGGCTGCATCGGACATCGAGCAGACAGAGCGCAAGGACGAACTGTTCAACTCGCTGGCCGACCTGCTGTCCCGGCAGGACCAGGCTCTGCCGGAGCCGGAGCAGTTGCAGGAGGAACCTGCAGTGGAACCATGGAGCACCATGGAGCAGGAGTCCGAGCAGAAGCCGGCGTTGGAGAAGGAACCTAAGCAGGAATCGGAGCAGGATCCGGAGCAGGCAGAGGAGCAGGAGCCTGAGCAGGGGCTGGGCCAAGTGGAGGGGCTGGTGCAGGAGGCGGACACCACTTCCGAGACGGTGGTGGTGCCGGTGCGCCTGACCGGGGTGCCAGTGGTGCCCACCCTGCCTGGGGATGAGGCCCCGGAAGAGGCCGGCCCTGGTGCCGACCAGCCCCCCGCTGATGTTCCGCTGAGTGCAAACGAGGTGCCGCTGCCGGCACCCGGCCGCCAGCCAGTCCAGGAGCCGGTCATCGTGGCTGAGGTCAGTCGCATTACATTTACTGTCCTGGTGTCGCGCATTACATTTACTGTCCTGGTGTTACCCTACAACAAAGCGAGTTTTTTTAAAAACTTATTTGGATTAATTCTTTTTTGCGCAGGACCGTGTTCTTATTGCTAGCGCTTACTCACTTTCTGCAGTATTTGTCCCCCTGGTTGAAGTTTTCTATCTTTTTTCGTAAATTATGTTCCAGGCTGCTGAATGTGGAAAAGTGCATGCACTGTTTTGCTGTTAATTCCTTTCTCAACTGCACAGTGAGGTGACCAGGCAATTCAAAAGCAGTGTTGATTTTTTAATCTTACTCATGCTCTCAAAGGTCAGTCACAAACGCAGACCGGCAATTCCAATGTGCCCGTGGGATTATTGACCACGCTACTACTTCAGTATGCCCATTACGTATGATATTGTTTGTTGACTGAATTTTGGGCCCAAAGCGCTCACCTGCACATCACCGTATAATAAGGCTCACGGGTTTGTGACCGCCTGAGCATGACAGTTCTTAAGCCTTCTGCCGCTCCTGTCTCTTTACCTACTGTTGCAGCTCCTATGTTGGTGCGGTGGACGGTGGCCGTCGCCCAACGTCCATGTAAATTTGAGTCCCGGAAGTTACCCTCATGTGGCTTGTCTTTGAATTCAGTTGGCAATCGGCCAAGAGAGTCAGGCCGGAACAGGGCGACAGTGGCGTGGTTCTGCGTGGCACACTAGAATATGTGAGCAAAATCAGCCCCTGGAAATGAAATCACTTTGATGGTGTGATCGGGCGTCTTCGTGTCTCTCCGTAGATATTATGATCTGAAAACAGGAAGCACAACAAAAAGTCGGCTAGATTGTTTCTAAGGCCTGGAGGGATCTAGGTCTAGAAGTGTTGCAAGTTGTTGAAAGTCTGCATGCCACAGTCGGTATGCGTGTGTGAGTCTAATTTGCTCAGTCCAGTTTGGTCTTTATGGGCACCTGAGAATGCGTGGTCGTCTTTGAACCTGCGCATGTTCTAGCCGTTACAGTTCTTAAGTTCATGGCCCTACGGTTCTGTGTGGATCAGTCTGTTATCTGCAATTTTGTGGGTTCTGTGGATTCTGAGCCGTTCGGCCTGGTGCTGTCTGCGATCAGCCTGGTGCTGTCTGTGATCAGCGTGCTCCTGTCTGCGATCAGCCTGGTGCTGTCTGCGATTCTGTTTAAGTTCGAAAATGATATTCGACACTGGTACATGACTCCGACCGCACCAGTCTGACAGACCGCTACGCCATGTCCGTGCGACCGAAGCAGATCACTTTTCAAACCCGTGGAAGTCTGTCTGCGGCGGTACGGTCACGCGCTGCACGCGTCGACGCGTGACCTCTGCACCCCGTGACGGTTCTTCCGCGCCCCTGCTCCGGTCCGACCCGTGGTGACCCTCCCCCCCCCTGACGGCCACCAGACGGCGCCCTGCCTCGGCTGCGTGACGCCCATACTGCACGATGGCGCCGACCTGCGCCGCGTCGCCAACATGGCCTCCAAACTGCTGGAGGAGAGGCTCGACGCCCGGTTTTCGTTCCGCGTCACGGAGGTGTACCGCGCCAGCAAGCAGGTGTGGCGCCGCGTCACGCCGCGCGACAGGCGAGGCGACTTGTCCGCGTGGGAGGAGTTGCAAAGTATGAGATGGGGGACGCTTCTTGCACGTTGTTGCAAGGCTTTTAAAATCTTGCAAAAATTCGTCGCTGCAAACAGCAGAGACGGCAGTCACGATCGGTGCTAGCCACATGGTGACAGTCGCCTCTGCCGGATTGCGAAGTAGTTTGACGTGTCTGCGTAAATGCAGCGTCGTCATCTTATTATTGCTGTGCCTTGGAAATTATCTTGTTGTTGAAGAAGCACTAACACGTGATTGACATCAATCGACATCATATTCCGCAGATTGTGAATGGCATCAAGTACTTCCTGACGCTGGAGCTGGCGTCCACCTCGTGCGAGCGACCCGTGCCGCCGTTCACGCTCTGTTACGTGGGCGAGGACGCGGAGAAGGTGATCTACAGCGTTGAGATGCTGCATCAGCCACACAGGGCCAACACGGAGCTGATCTCGCTCAGGAAGGTGAGAGCACGGGCGGGCGCAACGACGGCACGAGTAGGCAGGTTTGAATAAAGTCTAGACCACATCATTTTTTCTGCATCCTCGAACCCTTGCAATTCATGATCTAAGAAAGATGTATAATATGACCGCGATGCGGGGTTCCTGTAATTGGAAGACGGCGGTAGGGTGATGCTCCGTTTTCCAGTCTTATACATGAGTGGCTCCAATAGTCCTGATCGCATCAAAAGTGGGCTGAACCAACATGGAGAAAAGCCTGAGTGAAAAGTGTCCTTCTTTCGATGATGGGTGCCAGTAAATGTCCCGGTTCTTACCACGCGAATTAGAATATCCCATCAGCGACCTAGACCCGACGACCTCCCACAGCCGCAACTGTGGCACGTGCTCGTGATGCCGGCCACCAGCCAGCGCGACTCCCGTAACGCGCGTGACGCCGCCGCCGCCGCCAGATGGAGCTGTCGGAGCTGGCGGGGCTGCGCGGCCTGTTCGCTGCCGCCACGGCCAAGCCGCCGGCAACGTCCGAGCCGCCGCCGGCCGCCGCCATCGCGCCCGGCGACAGCCTGTTGGACATCCTGATGGGCCTGGACGCCGTCATCACGCACCAGCGGCGCCGGACGCAGCCGGCCGGTCCGGCCGCCGACGGCGTCGAGCCGGCCCCGGGGGCCAAGCCGGCGGCGGGCGCCGACCTGCTGACGGCGCGGGCGGAGGTGCCGCAGCTGGAGCAGCGGGCCGAACAGCGCCACGCCAGCAGCGCCCAATCGCTGCGCGTGCAGGCGCTGTTGCGGGGACAGGGCTGGCAGGGCCCGGGGGAGGAGCCTGGCCTGCTAGAGGACCTACCGTCCGAACCCGTCTCTTCGGGCTGTCGCTCCAGCCGGCAGTACATGTCGCAGGAGGGTACGGACCTCGGCCGCAGGCTCTGCCACACCTGTGTGTGACTGTCTGTGCGTTGGTACATAGTTGCCTACTTGCAGGAACCTGCATCGGTTCCTCCGCCACTCATCATTCACCTATCGTCATATCTGTCGATCTGTTCATATAAAGTCAATGATGGTTGGGCAGCCAGGCTCAGCGTTGCAGCGTGATGCAAACCCACATTCAAGACTGAAAATGAGGACCAGGTTAAGAAGTAGACAGATAATCTGGTTAGTTACGTCAGGTTCTGAGAAGTCTGTTAAGGTTCTGTAGATTTGGATGATGGTGAGGTGCGCGCATTATCCGGCGCCCATAGTTACGTGCAGCGTCGAGGCTGGGGGCTCCTTCGGAATAAGGGGCTGTGGCTGAGGCTGAATCCCAGTGTGTTCGCGTTAGCGCTGCTTTACCATGGTAATCCGACACCGTCGTGTGTTTCAGTGCCGATAAACGTAGCCCACCCGCGTGTGCAGAAGATCTTGCACGGCTTCCTGGAGAGTCAGGAACGGGCAGGTTCGCAGCGGCTGGTCATCACGGACATCCAGTCGGCCACCCGACAGGTGACGTCATTGGGGCGGCGGCCGGACGAACGGCAGCAGGATGCCTTGATTCGGAGGCGTCGAGGACGTTAGTTCGTCGTGGCGTCATTGAGACAGCGGCCGGACGAAAGGCACAAGGACGCTCTGATGTAGAAGCGTCAAGGATGTTAGTTCGCCAGTTTGTTCTGGGCTGGGGTTGTGAAAAAGTTCCATATTGGCCGCTACTTCCGGCTTGGTATCGAGGCAAATATCGATTATGAGTTCAAAACGATACGTTACAGTTCTGCACCAATCGGTCACCGAATCTGGCGTTTTTGAAAACATGCCCTTCATGAAACTTGAGACTACTATCTTGAGCAGATAAATTACATGGAAAGGCTGCCCCAGCTTTTTCTTTGTGGAGATACCTGTCCGGTAAAATGAAGTGATATCCAGGTTATTGTGATGCAGGTCGTTAATACGTCAGAATGAGTTGTACCCTAGTGCCTTAGTTTCAGGTGAACGAACAGGTCTGGCTGACAAAAAATAAGAACGTACAACGTAATGCCAAGAACGCGGTCAACCCTGCAAGCATTTCCGTCCCCATTATGTGATGTCACTTGGAAGAAATGGCATCTAGGAGTCCAGGATAGGGGTGGCGTGTTAAAACCATTTTCAGAGAGAGAGACGCCTCCCTGTAATGGTCAGCTACCCATTAATTGCCTCCGGCGGGTTAGATAACAAAACGTTATTTCTGCGACCGGAACTCTCATAGTGCAGATGTAAAGTACACATTATGCGGCGCTCTAAGTAACTGAGCTATGGGGATGACCTTGCATCAGCCACAAACTTTGGCCGGGAGGATTGTGACGTGGTATTGGAACGGCCCGCATGTCGCGTAAACATCTACGGAGGGAATAGGAAACAGCGTAGGTGATGCAATCGGCTGTAACGTAAGTTGAATTAATCCGACTTCGCCCGTGATCATCGAAATTGATTATGGCAAAACGTCCACGACTTGGACATCTCGCTGTTGCAGGCTATGGTGACGATTTTTCGCTTTCTTGCAGGCGATTACCGAGACGAAGTACCGTTTTGAGTTTGTGCTAGGCGTGTCACAATGCCCGAGGAACAGCACCGCGCACCGGTACTCCTGCGCTGCCACAGGAACCCAGCCGCTCTCCAACTGTCGGGTAATGAAGACCACACCTGCCTCATAACGTGGTGCTGCCATGCGTGACGTTATTGAAATTCCGCCGGCTTCAGCGTTCTCAGCGTCCTCTGCAGCGCAGGGGTTACGACCCCGTCGCAGATTCAACTTTCCGTGGGCTAGCGGAAAATGCAGAGCAGGGCGGTAGCCCAGTACCTGATCCGCCACTTTTGTTTCAGTCATTATCAGCCAGCTCCCTCCGTCGGTCTCCGTCAGCTGGGGTCGAACGATGTCAATCGCGTTTTTGCTCTTTCAGCTGCTTACATGCTTGCGGAACAAGGCTAGTTGTAATCGAAACATGCTACCATTGGCATGCGGGAGCGATAGGCCAGTTTACGACGCTATATGACTTTCTAAGACTTGAACTTTCTATGGCCCTACAGTTTCAATCAGGATGTACATTGATTACGTCGATGTAATTGCATCGTGGATGTAGAAGTTCCAATGGAAACATTTGAACCTTTCAACGACGATGATTCAGTGCCTCTCTTTGTATCCACTGCAACATTGAGCAGTACATGGCAACGGACATCCACTGAAAAACCGCAACTTGTTTGGACACATGTTGGTATCTGCCGGAACGCTACTCCAGTAGCGACTGGAGTGCATCTCCAGGGGTAGAAAGTCCAGTCGTTAACGTGCAGTCTTAAGAACGAACCTTTATCTTGGTTAGCTGACCTGGTTTGAATGTGGAAAAAATTAAAACCCTGCGATCGCGGGCAAAAGGCAACACAGTTGTAAGATAACACACGGCAGACTTAGTTGCCTCAGCGTTGGTTACCACCTGAAAAATTGTTCGTCAGATATCTCATAGAAAAAAGTCTTGGGGGCCTCCACGAACAGGATAACTATTCTCCTGGCTACTCAGGCGGAGGCCAACTCCATTAAGCCTGAGGTTACCACACGCATCACTCTCTTAACTTTAACTCTTAACTTTTTCAGTGTTATGTTCTGAAACGTGTAACCTAATCCATTCATGCGGGATATCCATACTAATTCAGATACATCGTATTCATGCCACCGTCTACGTTGCGTCGCCTCTACCCCCGCTCTCCTCTTGTGCGCGGATGACGGCGGGGCCTCAGACCTCGCTCGCGCTCCATGCTCGTGCCGGTGACGAGGCCGGTGCGGCGCCCGGCAGGTGATGGCCCGGCACAGAGCCGGCCAGCCGCTACAGTTCAACAGCGTCAGCTGCACCTCCAAACGGCAGCCAGAGTGTGCCAACGGCCGATGCGAGGAGCGCCAGATCCACCCGTACGCGCCCGCCTACCTCCAGTACCCCGACGGTGAGCGGGGGCGGGGGGGGGGGGGGGGGGGGGGCGGCGTCGGGCGGACGGTCAGGCGGCGCACCAGTGCGCCACGCTGGGGCTGCGGCAGGACCTCAGCCATGTAGTGTCGTGTGCGTTCCTAGTCCTTAAGCAGGAGGCAGCGACCGCCCGTTCTCCGGCACGCCTGCCCTGCGCCGGTTCAGTCCTCTGTCACTCTCTGTAAGCGTGGTACGTGGTCGCATGTAAATACTACGAGCTCTAGATCTGCCGCGATGTGCGGGGTCACGTGTCTTGAGGTGCAACGTAAACCCAAGCCCGGTCACTCCACGCCTGACGCAGCGAGCGATCAGGCGACCCACGCGGCACCACACACGGCTGAAGCGCGTCCCAGGGAGAGCAGAATGACGGACGATCTCGCGTTGCGCGTGACCACATGCGTCTGTGTTATCTAAATCATGCATTACGTTCTGCTTACTATTTCATTGAGACATATCGGTTGCCTTAGGCGTTAGCTACCCTTAAAAGCTAAAAAGCTATCATTATTGGGTCCAAAATGTCACCAACTAAGTGGTTACAGCTAAATATGTGTTCCACATGACCATGCGTGTTAAGTACTTTCTTGCAGTTAGGGCTGTAAATTAGACACAAGGCTGCATTTCTTCGTATATGGGCAATTCTCTGCGAAAAAAAGAAACACCTGGCGTTTGTACTGTTCAGCGTTGGGCAGTCCATAAATGCCTTGTGTTTAGCATTGATCTCTCTGCATCAGATCCCGTGGAAGTAAACATCCACGACTCCGCTTATCAGCAGCTGGTGCAACACGTGCAGGATGAGGTCAACCGAAGGTCGCGGAGGCCGTACCTCAAGAAGTTTATCAAGACGCTAAACGCCACCAAGGTCACCGTGAGTGTTAAGCCCGGCGCGCGCTGTTCCCGTGCATGCCGCCCCGACCGTCGTCGGCTGGCACCGACCAATCACAGACGGAAGAAATGCCATTCATTAGTCACTAGTCATTTATGCTTGAACGTTACATTAATTTCGACCAAGCTGTGTCGCTGATGTAAGTTTGTGCTCATCGACGTAGGGAGGTAATTGCCAGTGCAGTGGAAGCAGAGCTAGATTTTACAAGGATGCACCAGGACTAAAAACGCCGTGGAGGGTTGTGACGAACGTACTGGATGTGCCTTATCTCGTTCTGAACCTGTGGAGATGTCTCAACTGGATTTATAGGCAGGGAGTAAAATTTACGTAGGTATTTAATCACCTGGATCGTTAAGTTTAGCTTACTCTAGGCTTTAAAAGATACTAGGATGGCGATTCCGTTTGAAATGTGAATTTGCATGCGTTGCAAACTTAATGAGCGGTGCATATTTTGCATTGCATTTAATGTAGATGAAACTCAATAGCTGGATGTCCATCGATGCTTCTAGATTTCGTCGTCACATGCTACCAATGTCGACACAACTTCTCTTGACGTCAAGTGTTGCATGCACGGCCGAAAGCGTTGGTGTTTACCAGTCACCTGCTGTTGGTGTTTACCAGTCACCCACCGTTGGTGTTTACCATTCACCTGCCGTACTTACTTCGGCTGCCGACCAGCGTCCTAGACCCCGAACACCTGGTCAGCCACCTCGTGCCGTGCCGTGCCGTGCCGTGCCGTGCTGCACCGTGACAAGTGTGGCCGCCAGTACAACCTGCAGGAGACGGCCGAGATCATCGACCAGGAGCTGTACTCGCTGACGCTGCGCTTCTCGGACACGGACTGCGCCCGGGCCGGCAGCGCCGAGTCCGTCGGCTGCCTGCGCGACTTCAGGGTCGACGGCTCGCGGCCGACCTCCGTCTGCGACGTGCGCGTCTCCAGCCTCGGCTGGGCCGACCGCATGCGCGTGCTCGACCTCTTCTGCGAGGGGGAGGAGCCGGCGCCGCAGAGTCAGCAGCTGGGAGCGTGAGCCGGCGCCCTGCGTCGGTCTCTGTCACGTGCCGCGGCCGGACTCCTCGTCGCGGAGCGTCCTGTCCGAGCTCAGGCGGGCTGGACCGGCCGGCCTAGCGGTAAGCCTCAGCGGCGTGCGAGACATCCGTGGCTGAGGTGGCGCAGCGGCGGAGCGCGGGACCGGCCTAGCGGCGAGCCTCAGCGGCGTGCGAGACATCCGCGGCTGAGGTGGCGCAGCGGCGGAGCGCTCCGTCAGGTGAGCGCAGCGGCGCTGGAGGTGGTGGCGTCGCGGCCGGCGGAGCGCGGGACCGGCCGATCTGGGCGGCGCCGGCTGGCAGGTGCGCTCCGCCGAGATGGACTGGGTGGGCGGCAGACCGGCCGCAGCGGCACGTCAGCGCGTGGTGCGTGGACCGCAGCCGAGCAGTGATGCGTGGCCGCCTGCCCGGAGCTGACTGATGAGGCGGGACGGTGGCAGGCCGGAGCGAGCGTCTGGGTCGCGGTGGCCGTTCGGTCGGAGCTGACTGAGGAGGCGGGACGATGGCAGGCCGGAGCGAGCGCCTGGGTCGCGGTGGCCGTTCGGTCGGAGCTTGACTGTGCGACAACACCGGCTGGCTGGACTGGGGAACATAAGCGTCGGACGGATTCTTTTACACGTGTCCGTGACATTGACCCAAGTTCCAACCCGTTATCTGTGACTGATCTGTGAACCTCGAATGCCCGACAGTCTTGCAATTCAGTGCATGTGGCTGTAGTGAATGTGGTTGTGTGCCTTCCCATTCAACGGTACAACACCCGCGCCTGCGTGGATAGGCCGCATGGAGCGCGCACCGCTCGTCGCCCAGGCTGTGGCGCACCGCTCGTCGCCCGCCTCGCCTCGCTCGGGTGTAAACCACGGCTGCACGACTGAGCCAGCCGGCGGAATGTGCTTATCTCGTTGCGCAACATGTACAAACAAGTGTGTACTGTGTTATCGGACAGGCAACCAGGCGGACCGGCCGACGACTGTCTATCCTAGCTTTACATACCGGCACATCAGCTGCAAGTCTTGCGCTTCATGAGATGCGTTAGAAATAAACCTGTTCATAGCAAATGGGGGAAGCATCTTGCTCGGTCTACATGGACACCAGCTGAGACGACAAAGCACGCGGAAGTTCGGTCGCACGCACCACATGCCTACCGCACGGGCGAGGCAAATCGAGTTCATTTTACGCCCTCCACGTTGATTGCACTCGACATCTGGGCCGGGTCGCACGACACGATATGGCAGCTCACGTGTTTCCTAACGTCGCTGCGTAAGTTAGTGAATGGCTGAATGTTTGGTTAAGTCAAAAATGAAATTATGTCTCGGTACGACGGGAGCGGGAGGAGTATGGGCGGCCACCGGTATCTCTGAACAATAGTATGGATGTTATTGGGTTGCATGAGGGGCATAAATCGTGCCTGTTCTCCCCCTCCCACTCATCATTTTCTGAAGGCATCCTCCAGGGTTGTCAGTTTTCGAATCGTATGCTATTTGACGAAATTGAGTTGCCAACGTAGCGTATCCGTGCACTGAAGGTGGCTGTTGAAATTGCACAGGTTGGTGTTTTTTGGTCGTAACACAAGATCCATGCATGGGGTGGTGGATAGATGGCCGGGTCTCAAAGGTGTGGTACATCTAAATTTCTCGCGTTTTTTTTTCAGGCGGAAGCCCCACTACCGCATCACGAGCGCTCTCGCGTGCTGGATTGTCAGGCATTAGTTCACAGCCATGGCATAGATGGCGCTGACCAACTTACCTTCGGCTGCGACATCTGACATAGACGCCTGAGAAGATTGCTATCGCTGATAGCCAGTGCTTAGTGAGAACTGTGCCATGTGTGATATGTGGTTCCGCTTCTACTTCCCAGGGAACCCAGCCGGCTGGCGTCCCTGACATGCATTATGACGCGTCGTTGCAGTACGAGGAAATGCGTCCAGCGTCCAACCTCGCACCAACGATGCGATAGCAACTTTCTGAAAAGTTGTGATGTTGTTCCTTGTGTTAGCATTCTGTTTACTTGATTGCAGACTACAAGGTATATGGAAAGCTATCTTGTAGCACCGGGACATCAAGAACTCCCGTGTAGCAGCGTGGCCATATTTAGCCGCATGGTCGTAGAAGAAACTCATTTGATGAGCTCGGAGCATCAGCGAACATGGAGAGCGATATTCAGCAATGTATGATTCGTTCTACCCCTTCCCTCGCTCAGTCACTCCGCCTCCGACACTTCATGATTGCAGCTACCTGAATTATCCGCTTCTCATAGGGCAGGCCAGCACGGCGAAAGTTCTAAAGAAGGATCGGACGGGTTCAGCAGTGGTTTTCAACTTTATGTTACTTATATTCAACGTTTTGAACGAGCAGATTTTGGTTCAGGGCGTTTTCTAAGCAGAGTTTGAAGTTGCAAGGAACTTGACGAGAGACGTTTTGGTTAGGCGCGACGCCATGAACGCAGCCGAAGCTGTGCCAGCCATCCATAACCCATTTTCCTAAACCCTGTCCTACCCCTAAACCTACCCTGGCGTGGTGGGTGCAGGTAGGGGGTACATGGGTGAGCGACCCCTCCCCCTGTGGTTCCGAGGGGCCCCAAGGGGCCCATGGAACCGATGACCAAGGGCCCCATTAGAGGGCCTGAAGGGCTGGCCGGTGGTAGTTTTCAGGAACTCTGGACCGCAGGGCCGAGTCTTCAAATGTCAGTCAGAGGGCTTCTTGCACCGATCGGGGTCGCTTGGGACAGTGCAGGCCTCTGTGTAAGTCAGAGGGCCTCTTGCGCTAATCGAGGGTCACCTGGGACAATGCAGGCCTCTGTGTCAGTCAGAGGGCCTCTTGCGCTAATCGAGGGTCGCCTGGGACAGTGCAGGCCTCTGTGTCAGTCAGAGGGCCTCTTGCGCTAATCGAGGGTCGCTTGGGACAGTGCAGGCCTCTGTGTCAGTCAGAGGGCCTCTTGCGCTAATCGAGGGTCGCCTGGGACAGTGCAGGCCTCTGTGTCAGTCACAAACCACCAACACCGAAAGATCGGCTCGGTGTCAGCTTGGGCCTTGGACGTCCATTTCTTATGAAAGGATAAGGCCGGGACCTCCGATTCACACTGCCCGGAGCCCCTGAGACAATGGGAGCTCCTATGCCGTTCAGAGTCCACAATGTCTTAAAAGGTGTGCTGTGTTGGCAAGAGGACCCAGGTCGGCCAGTGGTACGCTTGGTGAACAGGGACAGAGAAGGAAGCCCGGATGTTAGAGCAGCGCTTTCCCTGTACGGGCTCCTCTGGCAGCGAAATGACATGTGAGGACTTCCAATAAAAGAGTTCGCAATCAGACAATGGAATAACTTTGTGCTGGTCAGTGGCCCCAGTGCCTTTCGGCACTGGGGCCCCTGAATGGCACACCCACCATCGCCCCATTTCGGGCAGCAAGTCGATATGCAGAGCTTGAGTCTTTGTGCAATTATTTTACCCCTATGCCAGTAAGGGGTACTTTTGCGCCAGATACGGCCGTCGATGTGTGTCCCACTATCCCGGTCACAGGGCCTTCCGTGTTAGGGAGGGGACCGATGTATCATGTATCCCTGTGAGGGCCTCCGGACTGATTGACCAAGGGGTTCCTAGCGCCGTTTTGCTAAAATGAAACCCAGGAGTTACCCCGGGATGGGACAGAAGAGCCCTTCTTTCGGAAGACCCCTTACCGGGAAAGGTATTGTACCACTCGTGATCTAGCCAAGAAGGCCTTACCCAGAAGAGGCAAGGGAGCTTCTCAGTGTTCAACAGGATGGATCTAAATGAGGTAAAAAATCTGTATTGACATGGCCAGCTAAAGCTTGCCTGAGCGTGCCCACCTTCTTTCTGAATTGACCAGTGAAATAAATTGCATCGAAATATTTTCAGTCTGCACCGCTAACAATGTTTAGGAGCAAGAACACCAATACCCGGCTCCGCAGTTTTCGTCAAACAGAGCGCTCTTGACCGCTGCAGCGTTGAGCTCATCCGTGTTATCATGAGATTGACAGCTTTAGCAACACAAGAATAACGGGCACTTGTACAAAATGTTGTAAGTACAAAAAGTTATAAAACTTCGGACGGGTATCTTTTAAGATTTTTTTAGAGACATTACCCAAAAATTATCACATCTGCTGGCCATCTCATTAAACTTTGTAACCACATCATTAGATTGACACACAGAGGCAATGCCTGCTGGCTTAGCGCACTTTTGTGCAAAGTTCGTGCACCGATGTCTGCACGACTTCTTTGCTTTCATCAGCGTTTTTTTTTCTTACAGTCCATTTGATCGCGTTTCTTCAGCATTCGCTCCGACTTGGTTTACCAGTTATTGTCATATACATCTCGCTTCAACGCCTCCCGTAGGTCTTTAATGGGTCGTGCCTGAGGTGCGTTCTGGTTGCGCTTTCATCTCATGATACGTACGTATTTGGCAGATCGTGCAGGAATTGCAATTTGTTTTGCGCCTAATGGGCAGATCCCAGATCTACCTTGCATACAAATTGTCATTCTGGTGATTTTTCCACAACAAATGGTGTTACGCCTTGCATTATGCGTTCCTTCTCGTAAGTTTATTGTCCGCTGTTGCCTTGCTGGATATGACACTGGTACTGATCGGCCGTCCCGGTTCACAGTCATCCACACCATTATTCTCCGAAAAAACTGAGGCTCTGATCAAAACTTGACATCCTTTGGTGCATTGACGGTATCTTAAGTGTAGTACCCTACGTTTCCAGACACAATATAATGGTCTAAGCTAGTGCCAACTTTTTGTTTTGTACTGCCTCAAAACTCCATATCATCCAGTATGCGATGGGCGACGCTTCGGCCCACTCGCATTCTCTAAAAAATGGAGATCATGACATGCCTTTCTCATATTTTCTTAGTTGATCACATAAAATTCAAGATCTGCATGTCTGCACGTCTGCACCTTTGAGCTCTTCTCTGTTTAACGGATGAAAATAAAACATGGTAAATTTTATTCCGATACAGAGGTTTGCCACTACACTTTCATTAATGTCAAAATGCAAGTGTCATACATTCAGTCGCCTCAGGAGTACACAACCAAAGTTTGTCTCACTTTTCAGTACCCACCTGTGAGATTCCATCACCACGTTTAGGGTTTGCAAATCCGCCAATGCCAATATGTTCCCATTGTGAATCTGAAAATCGCACGGGTGAAATAGATGATGCGAAATGCCTTCTAAACGTACAATGTTGATACTGTGAAACGTTCAAAGGTACCTCTTTCAGAGAGGTAATCTTTTTCGTCCACCTGTTGGCCGTCGCCGAGCGTCAGACGCGGACCGACGCCGCGCAGTCTATGGAGATAGCAACGCCGGGCAACAAGGTTTTGTTTGAAGACTAGCGAGCTCGTATGTTAAAACCACGTTCGGTGAATCATAACTGGGCAATCCTATGTCCAATTAGGTGGGGTGATTCTATCCTAAAACTGAATTAGGATGGGTGATTCCTTTCTCATTTAAAACGCACCCGGGTGGCCGGTTGAATACCGTTCGTTCGGATTGGGGATCAATTTAACCCCCTGCCGAGATCTCAGAAACTAAGAGAACTAGGGACACAACTTTACAGGGCGTGTTTGCCTGTAATTAAACCCACATCTGCAAAAACTTGGAGTTCTTAGGTCATGACTTTCGGGTCAAATAGGGTTCAACAAGGTCAAGCTCTATATAGGTGTCTTAAGTGCCCCAGAACATGGGTACCAGTTTTAAGGAAAACGTGACTAGTGCTCATTTCAGGTCAGTGACTTGTTTACCTTTCGGAGGCCATGGTGACCAAATATAAAGAAATTGCTTTGAGTTGTTCATGCGAATAAGCGTCAAAGTTTACGCTAGGCAATATATTCCTAAAATCAAAATGGTTTCCCGGGTCATTTTAGGTCAGCACCTATCCTGGCCTTAAACAAGTCTATGGAATATGTACAATGTGGTGCCTATTATCAATAAATCCGCAGTGAGTACAGGATGTGGAGTAGCTGATGTGGGGTAGTTACCACACGCAGCAAGCTCTAGAGTAATAAAACTGGTTGCTTTTGACTTCAGCCTGACCTTCATACCTG